CGCCGGGCTCAGGCTCGCGACGGGCGCCCGGCTCTCCACGCCCCGGCGCCGTCGACCGGCCCGCCTCCTGCTTCGCGGTTCCAGCCTCTCATTGGCCGAGCGGCCCTGTCTCTCCACGACGGGGTTCTTATTGGCTGCAGCGCTCCCGGGAAGGCGCTGTTATTGGCCGTATCTCAGCCCCGCCTCCTTGGGCGCAGCGCCTCATTGGCTGACTTTTCCGGCTCCGGCGCAGGTGCGCGCCTACGGACCTCAGCATCAGGACCAGGGCGGGCGCGGGAGTTGGAGGGACCAGGTGGACGGAGACTCTTGAGGAGCTCGGTTCACGTCCGCCTCTGCGCTGTGTGCCTTCTCTGTCTCACTGCTTCCTCTTTTGTAAGACGGACCCAAGCCGGGAGTGGTGGCTCATGCCTGTAATCCCAGCGCTTTGGGAGGCCGAGGTGGGTGTCTGGCTAGAGCCTAGAAGCTCGAGGCCGCGGTGAGATTTGATCACGCCACTGCACACCAACCTGGGCGAAACCCTGTCTCAACCTGTTAACAAACAAAAACAAAATCCCCAAACGGACCGAACAGTCCTGTGCTACCTTGCTAGGTGGTTGTGGTGATCACCGAGATAAGGGAGGAAAAACTCTGAGGGTCCCCAGGGCTGTAACTTCTGACCAGGCCGCGGCCAGGAGTGCCAAAGCCACCGTAGGCTCACACTGAAACAAGTCCACACGCTTTCAATACTGAAGTTGCATACGTGTGTTTGCAGTTTTTATACAGTTAACATCTCTGCCTTCTACTTCTTAAAAAACCAAAGAGAAGGGCTTCATCCATTCTTTTCAGAAAGGAGAAAAGGTAAGGAAGAGGGATAAACTCCCAGGTTCATCTCGAATACAAGGGCAGCTTGGTGTGGCTTGCTGCGAAAAAGAGATCTTCTCTGGCAGAAAATAAAGTTAGGGATGTGTTTCAGAAAAAAGAAAACTCACATTGATTCAGTTAGGTTATGGCCGAGAAAAAACTAAAGGGATTCACAGAATTATGAAAGAATTATCATAGAATTATTACTGGGGTTCTAATCTAGGTTCGTGAGTTTTCATAGGGCCAAACTGGATTACTATTAGTAGAGTGGTAGGTGAATGAACATGCCTTTCTCATAGTTTAAAAAAAAAAAAAAAAAGGCACTTTGTGTCAGAATGCAAAACCTTTCAGGTTCATTTCCAAAGACTCAAGGCATTCCCTCAAACAGGTTTTGCTCTCTAGGGTGGTGGCTCACCCTGTAATTCTAGCACTTTGGGAGGCTGAGGTGGGAGGATTACTGGAGCCCAGGACTTTGAGACCTAATATCTCCAAAACAGCTAGGCATGGTGGTGCGTCCCGACTACTTAGGAGGCTGAGGCAGACGATCACCTGAGCCCAGCAGGTTGAGGCTGTGGTGAGCCATTATACTACTGCACGCCAGTCTGGATGAGAGTGATTCCAACTCAAAAACAGAAACATCCACAAATTTTGCTCACAGATCTGTACTTTGGGCTGAGCTTTGGGCAGATCAACTCATCTGTTCCATGTGGTGTCATTTGGGTCTGCACCACCAGGGTGAGAGGGTCCATTTTCAAGACAGCTCCCTGGCTGGCAAGATGGCACTGGCTCAGCTGGAAGCTCATTCAGGGTCCTGGGTTTCATTCCACAGGCTGCTCCAACTTGCTCTAGGCATGACAGTTAGGCCCAAGGGTGAGCTTCCCAAGAGAGGAAGCGGGGCTGTCAGTTGTTTAAGGTTTGGGCCCAGAAGCTTGCAGAAATACTTCCACTGTTTTCAAGCAATCACAAGGCTTCAAAGAGTCGAGGAAAATGGACACAGGCCCTGTGCCTCAATATAGGTGTCAAGGAGTACTGGAGTCACGTTTTAAAACCACCACAGTGAACCTGAGGGCATGGACAAAGCCTGAGTGAACAGGAATGTGAACATACTGATTGACTAGCACTGGGAATATGGGAAACAATGGTTCATGAAGCCAGGGTTCGAAGAATGACCGAAAACACGAGGCCAAATCCCAGCAAAGGCTGGCTCCCAAGAGGGCCATTCAGAAGGCTGGGTGTATGGCGCCAGCTAAGAAGCAGTTGGAAGACCCGACCAGGCAGTTGGAAGGTGGAAAGGCCATGTTGAACCTGAAGGTCAGATCAAGGTCACATGCCAGTGGTCTGTTAAGGATGGTCAGGAGTACAGCAGTAAGTGCAGGGGTCAAAGCAGATGTCTATAAGAAGCAAACCCAGGAAACCAAGTCAACACAGGAAAGAAGGCAGAAACCAGAGTCCAGATACAAGAAATTAACAGGAATCAGAAAGAAGCAAGTGAAGGAGGTAGACAACCATGAGGCAGGGCGTGGAAAGCCTAGCACACGCCACTGGACTCCGTGTTACGACCTTGGGGCAGGTCAGCAGATAGGGAGGCGACCCTACATTCCACGCAGAGTACGAGCCAGGCAAAGACTCTCAACACCCAAACTGTAGTTATGTCAATTCAGGTTTTATTAAAGTTGTTGCTGAATATTACATTTTATCCTTAGTTTTCCCTATTTGATTCTGCTTTAGTGTTCTCAGAACTTTTATTCATTTATCAGATCCTTTGTCATGAATGACATCACCAGGTATCTTACATCAATATCCAACTGATTCTTTTATAGCAATGAGAAAAGTCAGTGAAAGACTTGTAGCACTCAAGTACTAAAACACCAAGATCTCCACTTCGAAGAGCCAAAGCTTCCTTCTACATCACCTGTAAAACCATGTCTCTTCACTTTACCATCAGGATGGAAATAATTGAGAGTACTCATGTAATTTTTTGCTCGTCCTGTCTAAAAATGTGGGTTTTTTGTCTGTGGTTAATTAAAAACAAACAAACAAAAAAACCAGAAACTGAAAGGAAAAATCACTGTGAATGATCAGTTTCCAAGTTTTTATAATCATCACTTAACTAGGCTACCCATCTCCTGGATTTTAGACAGCTATAAAATGGTAGGAAAAACAATGTGCATAATAAAAAAATAAAAATAAATATCTGAGAGCCTACTGTAGTAGGCATTTAACACATGCCATTTAATCCTCACAATATTGTGAGATAATTATTATAATCATTTTACAAATAAAGAACCAGGCTCAGAAGAGTGAAATGACTGGTGCCCAAAGTCACACAGATGACTGAGCTGTTATTTATGTTCAAGTCTGTGCCTTGTTCTGGCTTCCTAAAGCCCTTCAACTTGAGATTCTTACTATTATAGCTTCACCTTCTAACTCTAAATTTATACTTTTAAGTCTGCAAAACTACTAAATAATAAAAGAATCTAAAATTATTCTCAATCTACTTGTAGATACAAAAACAGGAGGTGTAACATAATATTACAAGACTTTTCAGGTAATTATACCATTTCATACCTAAAATTATAGTTCATTCTAATTCACTGGTAGTGATAGCTAGCAATAAAAAACACAGAAAAAACCACACGAGTAGTTATAATCGGCTCATTTTCTTGTTATCATCATCTGTCAATTTCATTGAAATGAAGGCAAAAAGGACAATTTCCTACTGTGAAGTCTGACGCTCATTAGATTGGCAATATACACTTAGTGGAATGCCAAGAGAGGCTCTCTAGCTTTAAAACCTCGCCACTTACATATTTACTTGTTTTTCAAGTGTCTAAATCTGTTGGAAGATGGCAGGGTCTATGGGGGGATGGGTGGGTGCTTTGTTGACACACGTATGTGTAGTGTCTTAGAATTACCTATGTGTAAGAGGATAACTTTACCCACCACTGAATTAGGTCACACAGCCCCAGTGGAAATGGGTTTATTTTATAGGTAACAAACTTAAATCCAAACCTATGTGACCTGGACATCTAACAACATTGACTCTTCTGCTGGGGACTTATTTGCGTGTCCATTAATCTTAAGTGACTGAAGTTAATATCTAGTTCTTTATTCAAGTTCTCACTGAAATTTAGTCACCAGTTTGGGGATTTTTCCCCCCTTGGGTCCAATCTTAAAACGGCAAGGTTTTCATGCTTCAAAAAGGATGAGATTAGATCATCAAGGCCTCTTCCAACATTAAAACATCCAAAATTGACAGCCTTTTAAAAGTCTGACTGATGTGTCATTCATTAGGTCATTTACTGGACAAATCTTTTACAGAACACCAGCTATAAACAAGACTGAAAAAAACCCATACAAGTCCATTAACTCTAGGAGGATAATATATAGAAGGGGGACTAAATGTTGATACAAATGTGACCTAACAGATACAAAACCTAGGAAATAAAGTTATCAATGTAAAAGAGGTAGTGATTTGTGAGTACCAATTAAAAAAAAGAAATTTCCTGGGCATACATCTGTAATCCCAGCTACTCAGAAGGCTGAGGAGGTGGCAGGATTGCTTGAGCCCAGGAATTTGAGGCCAGTCCAGGTAACTTGGAAAAAAACACCTGGCAAGAGGAGAGAATCTTTATGTTAAGTGTTCTTTATCACAATGAATACATAATCAGTAACCAGGACAGGAAGAAACTTAAAAAAAAAAAAAATTCCTGCATAACTAAATGAAACCAGAAATTTCTATCCTGATCACCTTCCCTCATCATCTGATAAAGGCTTACAAGGCAAATATGACAAAGGGGCAGAAGAGCAGCTAGTGGATGAGACATGGCAGGTAAGTTACCTGTACAGCCCCATTTGGGTTCTCAGCTACCAGTGCTGCCTCATCTGCCTGAGATGATCATAGACCCAGGGAGGCTGAAAATAACACGCAGGTAACTCAGCGCAAAGAAAGCCCATGGTCTTCTGGTCACCCCTGCTTGGAGGGCTGGGATCCAGGATTGCTCAGGGGTCCTTGCCTCCTCATTTCGCCTGAGCCTTCGGCCCCTGCAAGTGGGAAGCAGAAGGGGTAGGCATGGGACATGTGAGTATGAAGCCCATCTGCAGAGATGAGGCTTAAAGGAATATCAGAAACGAAAATGAAAGTCCTGAAAGCCTGTGTGTATACAAATCAACCCAAATGACCTGCAGTTATACAACTGGAAGGTTTTATCACCTCAGTACCCAAATGCTGAACCAATCTCTACCATCTCCTTTCTCCACAAAATACAAGCCACCGTGCAATTCTGGTTTTAGGGCCTGCTAGAAAGGAACATTTAGTTGAAAATACAAAGTTAAAAGAATTTTGGATTCCAAGTCATCAGAGTATCAATTCAAAAAATAATTTTCCTAAACATGCTTTGATAAAGGCCATAGAAACACTTGTCACACTGTTCAAATGCCCAATGGCATGACTTCTGATGAGACCACATAGGTCACATTAAATCAATAGAATATCTTAGAAATAAAGCCAATATGACTAAATCCAAAGCATATCACATGAAGTACCTCATGTACAATACAAACCTAGTTTAATAAATAAAAGAAACACAGGTGACCGCACTCTGGGAGGACCTTTGGCTCCCATAAGCAGAGCTTCCAGGGCCTTCTCACAGTCTTCTCTGAGACTCCACCGCCACCTCCACCCGGGCGAGTCTGATGGTGCGGCCATGCAGCTTGTAGCCATCCTGCCTCACTAAGGCCACGGTGCCGGGCTGCACCCCCACACCGGCTGGCACATGGCAGATGAGCTCATGCTCGTGAGGGTCGTACTTGTCGCCAATGGGGGTCAGCTTCTCCAGGCCATGCTTGGCAAACACACTCTTCAGCTTTGCTTCTAGAAGTGACAACCCTCGGAAGACCTTTTCCAGTGTGAGCTTCTGGTCCTCAGGTTCTGATTCCTTGGAAATGCACTCTGTGGTCTTCTCCAAGATGTCTGCCACCTCCACCAAGTCCTTACAGAAACTCTGGATTCCTGCAGGCAAGCCAGACATTCTTATTGTTTGTGAGGAAATTACTCTGCTCCTGGGGATGGAGTCTGGGAAAGGCCCAGGTAGGTGGCTCGCACACTGGGTGGCCTAGAAAGTGAACAGGTTGCCACACAGGACCACACAGGTGATTGCTATTGACCACCGCCCAACCATGGACAAGCCAGTGTCCTCAGAAGGTGTATGTGACCAGGAACCCTAATAGAAAACAGAAAAGACAGAACCCAAGAACTAGGGCAGACTACATACAACATTCAAAGAAGACGGTACTCCTAATGAGAATGCTGAAAGCAGTAAGCTTCTGTACACTGATGAGGTACAGAGACTTGGCTTCTAGTTAGTGAAGCTGTGTGAATCCAAGTCAAGAGAAACCTAGGCTCCCTTTTCTGTTGACTGAGGGACTCAGGCTGATTCTACTCTAATGAGTATGTTCCTCTAATAGGTGACTGGTGACAGTTTAATCTCTTAGCAAAGAAAAATGGGTCTTTGTGACCCGTTAAAAGAATGTGGATTTTCTACTGTCCAACACTGTCCTTGGAAGGTCAGACAGTCATCATGCTATATCCCTGAAAAGCATTCTACTCTTCTACTTCCAGGCTCACCAAGCAATCTTCAATTTTCTAAGTATTTTGGCCATTAGGAGAAAATGACCTAAGCAAATGACTTATGTGGCATCTTCTGGTAGACACATTTTGCTCTATAAATTAATAAATCAGATTTACTAACAAATTCTTTTGAGTTTAGTTAATAAGTATTTATCCCCAGGAATCTTATTACATACTTCTTGAGTTAACTGATATTAAGCTGGCTGCTAATCCAAAGCTTAGCTTCTAGTAAGCCCATCCACTCACTCCCCTCAAGCAGGCATAACAGCAGCAAATTTACCCCATTATCCTAATTGGTTTACTGGCTAGAGAGTCCCTGCAGCTCAGAGATCAGCAACTTTTTTCTGTAAAAGGTCAGAGTAATTATTTTAGGCTTTGTGGGACAAGAGGCAAAGACTAAGGATCTACCTTATATATCTGATTATGTAACATAAGAGAAAATAAATTTTTATAAATTTCTTTTTTTCTTTTTCGAGACAGACACTCTGTTGTCCAGGCTGAAGTACAGTGGTACAATCATAGCTCACTGTAGCCTCCAACTCCTGAGCTCAAGCAATCCTCCTGCCTCAGCCTCCTGAGTAGCTGGGACTACAGGTATACACCATCATGCTTGGTTAGTATTTTTAATTTTTATAGAGACCTGGTCTCACTATGTTCCCTTGCCTGGTCTTGAACTCCTGGCCTCAAGCAATCCTCTTGCTTTGGCATCCTTAAATTTTTACAGTGAAATTCAAAACTGCACTTATGGACTAATCGGTGGCAGGCTGTAGTTTGCTGAGCCCTGCTGTAAAGTCGGAAATAAGAGACTAAAACTTGGATGAACTATCAGGAGTACAATTTGTGGGTCAGTCCTTTGTTGACACTTGAAGCCTTAAAACACAAGGAGTACAGCACTGAGAGAAGAGCAGAAGGCTGTGCCATAGCACTGGAGTTGGACAGGACAGAATGAAGTGAATTCTGTGTACAAACAGCAATGTCTAGAGGGCAAGAGGAAGCGTGATATGGGAAAATGGATGACCTCTTTCACTTTGTGTATAGTGGATGTGCCTTCACCCTCGAGTCCCTGTGACTTGACTAACACCTTCATTAACAGCTGTGCAACAAGATGTGGCATGCTAAGGGGAACATTTCTAGAAGCTTTGAAATCGACCAGAAAGATTATTCAGTGTTTTCCATGGAAAAAACACATGGGTCTAGCACAGCTTCATGGTTATGTTTGATTCTGGTCTGTGCCTCTGTCTTCGAGTTCTTTCACATCTCATCAGGCCATAGACTAGTACTAGCAACGTAGATGATTCTTGTCCTTAGTAATGAACATGGCCTGGCGCTAGACGGTTGATTGAGGCCCTCCTGAGAGAGACTGATTGTGCTTCCATGAAGCATATTTCAGCACTTCTGACTGCCTGTGTGTCTGCTCTTCAGCTTCTCCTCTGACCTATCTTAATGATTCACATGCTCATAAAGAGCTAAGCAGAATTGCTGAGATAAGCACTGGAATGTTAATCACACTAAGTGTACATGCTTGGGAAAGAAAATAAAGTTTTGATCAAAATATTTTGTTTTAATATTGTTTTAGCAGATGATTACCTGACGCCCTTCATTCCCAATTGGCAACACAGAATGTCTAGAGGGAGAGTGGAGGGGTATCAGATGAGGACTCAGATATGCCTTTACTACACTCCATTTGCAGAACTGCTAGTAAGTATCCTGAAACTGACTTTTTTTTTGAGTCAGGGTCTCACTCTATCACCCAGCTGGAGTGAAGTGGCATGATCACAGCTCACCGCAGTTTCGACCTCCTGGCTTCAGGTGATCTTTTGCCTCAGGATCCCATGTAACGGGACCACAGGCGCTCCACCATGCTTAGCTAATTTTTTGTAGAAACGAGGTCTTGCTCTGTTGCCCAGGCTGGTCTCAAGCTCCTCAGCTCAAGCAATCCTCCTGCTTCGGCCTCCCAAACTGCTGGGATTTCAGGCGTGCGCCACTGTGCCTAGTCTGAAAGACATTTTTACTATGAATAAACCTCTTACCAAATATCTTGGCGTCTTCCACACACCTCTGGGTTCTCTTCCGTATGTTTTCACAGTCAGCTACAGCTCTCTGGTATCGTACCTGGACATCAAGGGCAAGGTCAAAAGGATGAGAAAACAAATGCTTACTGGTGGAAAACAATGTTTTTGCTTATTTTACAAATCCCACCCTTATGATAGGTTTTATAAAACAAACTAGGAGTTGTAGAAATCTTAGGTCAGCAACTTCAAATCTCCAGCCAAAGCAGAAACCTACTCTTTAGTAGCCCTGAGAGGCAGTCATTGGCATGCTCACCTGAACAGTTGTTTTCCAGCCTATCTTGAGAAAAAGCTGTCTTTTTCACATTCAGCCAACACTTGACTTTCTTTCACTGAACTAAACTTAGGACAACTGAGAGTAAGTTTTAAAAGTGTGTCATCTATTTGAAGGCAGTTATGTTAGGCTCGTTAGTCCTTCTCTTTCATTATTTTATTATTTTTTTTTTTTGAGTTGGCATCTCACTATCGCAGCCTCGACCTGCTGAGCTCCAGTGATCTTTCCAAGAAGCTGGAACTACAGGCACGCGCTGCCACGCCTGGCTAATTTTTGATTTATTGTAGAGATGAGGTCTCACCAAGTTGCCCAGGTGGGTCCCGAACCCACGGGCTCAGGCAATCCACTCATCTCGGCCTCCCAAGGCGCGCGATTATCGGCTGAGCCACTGAGCCCAGCCTCTCTTTCATTCTCAAAATGACTGCTTCTTCCACTGTTCTTACCAGACATGCTTTCCACCCTCCCTGCCATCCTGGGTGGTCTTGCTTTGGGACTACTTGGGCTTACTAACTGCCCTCAAAGAGTTTCTGTCAGTCCAGGACTGGGTCCTGAATGCGGGAGACGCATTAACCAGCAGAAAACAATGGTCTGTGATCTCAAATATTTTGCAACAAATATTTTGAGTGTCTATTACATACCAGGTACTTCCTTTAAACTGTCAAAACATCAGACATTTTTGTGCTATGACACAAAAGGGAATGAAAAAAGATGACTACTAACAGTGTTCTTGAACTACTACAGATATTTCTGCCCAGTACACACATCAGGAGAGTGGAGGAGGGATGAAGAGTACTAGATAAAGAGCAATCAGAGGACATTCTATTTTAAGATTTGACATAAAAACTTTACTTGGCTATTTACACTAGAGAGAGGATGTGAAGAACAAATATAAGATCTACTCACTGTTAAATCCTGGACCTCCTTTTCCAGTTTAACAGCTTTTACCCTTAAGGCTCGTTCAGCAAGAGAGGGTCCAAGCTCATCAGGAGGGTCCTCAGAAGCACAGTCCTCACCAGCAGTTCTCTGGGTGGCAGTGCTGAAAGGATGCAGCCATGCCCTAACAGGAGAGAGGTGGCATGTAATAAAGAAACGCCAATATTACAATGACGTTTAGAGACCAGAAAGCTTCCCAGATAGAATCTCTAGAGAAAATATTTTTAATTATGATAACGAATGAACATCTACGAAGGCCTTACTAGGCACCAGATGCTGTTTTCCCTGAGTCATCACTTCATCTCGTGACATGTGAGATGAGTACTACTATCCCTGTTTTACAGATGAGAAAACCGATACTGAGGCTTCCGGCTTAGTGCTTTCTTTGCTCAGGATCACACAGCTAGTTCTATTGAGCAGGACACTGAGCACCAGGCAGTAGAAATAGCCAGAAGTGGGTCTAGAAGTTCACTTAAAGGAACCAAATGCTAACACCCAGAACCAGAGGGCAACAGCAGAAGCACAAATTCAAAAAACAAAGTAATACAGTTCAACCCTTCAACTTACAGATGGAGAAGATTAAGTCCAGTAAAGGGATCTTATTAAACCAGATTAGGCTGAGAATTCTAAGTCTCCTTGACCACAAGTGTAAGGCTTTAGAGAGAGGACTGGCAATGAGAAAGATAAATGCTAGACTGAGAACACACCTATATGGAAAACCAAGAAACACTTATACAACACCACTATATGTTATGGCTTGTGAACTATAAATGGGTGAATACAATAGATCGTTGCATTCGACTAGTCACATAATCCATAATTCTGCACAGCTAAAATTTAAAACGCTTGACATTTAGTTCGATTTATATAGAAAGAAGTTTAGCTGGAGAGCTAGTTTATAGGGGATCCTGGACCGTGGTGGTTCTGACTCCCAGTTCAGGAAAGTTTCTGTTACACCTCTTGAAGCCTCATGATTTGACTTCAAGTAAAATTACCATGAAAATCATCTGTGATTTCAAGAGCTCTTTAAAACAAACAATTGATATAAACCGGCATATACTGTAGAGTGGCCCTTGAGGTGACAGCTGAGCAAAGGTTTCCTAAAGGAGTCTGCCTTAAGAAGAGCACTATGGGCAGAGCGAAAAGTCAGTTTAAAGGCGTGGGCAGGAAGACTTGTCTCTCCCAGACTCCCAAGCCGGTCTTGAATTCAGTTCCGATGATCTGGTGTCCGATTACACAAGGCTTCAAATGTGGGGTCCAGAAATACGGGCTAATTACACAGGGTGAAGGACCTCCTTCTGCCTAAAACACCACCCATATCCACCTGAAAGCGCAGAAGAAAACGTTCTCGGGGCCAGTTTAACAAGGGACACGGCCGGACGCAGGCGGGACACCGAGGGCAGCCGCGGCCCGTCCCAACTCCCGCTGCTCTAGAACTCGAGTGGGGACCTCATCATAAGGAGGATCCACTGATTCTCCGATCGTCTCCCCACGTTGCCGACCAGCTGCAGCTGACAAAAGCAGCGCGTGGAGCCCCCGTCCCCCGAAGGCGGAGGGGCCGTCGGAGGAACCAAAGCCAACGCAACTGGCAGGTAAGACCGTGCCGGGATGAGGGGGGCCCGGGAGAGAGGCGCCCTCGATCCCACCGTGCCTTTGCTTGAGACATCCCGCCTCCCAGGACCCGGTCTCGGACCTTCCCACCCTCCTCGGCCTCGGATTTCCAGTCTGTGAGATGGGCCGAGAGCGCCCAGTACCCTTGCCCTGCCCTCCCGCCCACCGCACTCACCTGCCCTCCCCTGCGGCGCGGGAGGCCAGGAGGCGCGGCCCGCACCGCGCCGCCCATAGACCCCGTACCGCCATGTTCCAGCCGCGCGGACGGCCACGGCGCATGCACACTGGCTCCCGGCGAGACGCGCCTGCGTGCAATCCGGCTTTGCGGATGTTCTAGCGCGGGAGTTCCGGGCAGGACGCCGTACTTCCGGCGAGCCAATGTGCAGCGCTGTTCGCTTTTCCCGGCGTCCGGGGCGAATACCGTAGTCTGTTCCCAGTGTTCCGCCGGGACGACGCGACTGTCACTGACCGCGGACCGGGACGCCGGCGCGGGGTCAGCTGATCACGCTGCACCCTCGAAGCCCGCACAGAGCTACGATGACCAATAAACCCAGCGCCTGTCAACACTTTGGGAGGGAACCTGGCAGGAGGCCAGGAGTTTGAGACTCGCCCGAGTGACATAGGGAGACCCCGTCTCTATTCTAAAAAAGTACAATAAAAAAATAAATCAATACAATAAAAAAGGATAAAGTCAAAATAAGAGTGGTGTTTAAAGGGGAGGAGTACCAGGCAGTAGAAATAGCCAGAAGTGCTGCGGAGCCTAGAATACAGATACGACGATCGTCGGACATGTTCCCAGAGGATGGGATATTTGAGCTGAGAGCTGAATGACGCTTAGATGAAAAGAGGCTCGGTGGCTCAGCCTGTAATCCCGCGCCTTGGGAGGCTGAGGTGAGTGGATTGCCTGAGCCCGCGGGTTCGAGACCCGCCTGGGCAACTTGGCGAGACCTCATCTCTACAATGAATCAAAAACGAGCCGGGCGTGGTAGCGCGCGCCTGTAGTTCCAGCTACTCGAGGCGGAAGGATCGCCGGAGCTCAGCAGGTCGAGGCTGCGATGGCCGGGAGCGACCACTGCACTCCAGTCTGGGCGACAGAGTGAGACTCTAACTCAAAAAAAAAAAGAAAAAAGAAAAGAGGACAAGGTCCATTCAGGCAGAGGGAGGCGTCACCTGCAGAGGCCTCTGAGGAGGGAGCAGTGCTGCTTGCGAGGGCCTGAAATACAGGGTCAGGGACACAGGCCTGGTGATCAGGCTCACGGGCGACTTAACATCATGGCCTGACCCTTCCTGTCAATCTTCCCTGCTTCTTTCCCTAAAGCCCTTCTTTTTTATCTTCACTGTTTTTAATGGTGTGTATCGACTCCTTTTCTCTCACTAAAATATTAGCTCCACCAGGGCAGAGATTTTTGTCTGGTCATTCCCACTGAGCAGTGTCCTACTACTCATTTTTTTTTTGCAGAATGAAATATAATTTTATTCTGAAAATTTAAAAGTTGTTGGAATCCCCTAAAATACTTGAGGTCTTGAGAGAGATGTGATGTGAGCTGAGCCATGGAGTGTGCTTGTAACTCTGTATCTTAGATGACAGCTTACCTCTCTTCCTCACTGCTCTTGTTCTGTAGATGATAGGAAAGACCAGAGACTAGACCTCCCCCTCCAAACACTGAGCTTTGTTACAGATCAACGGCCTCTTTCATTGTCCTGTACATAACTTGGACCAGATGGTGCCCCAGACAGGGATCCCATCGGCTATATCCTCAGAGTGGAAAGTAAAACATGTCTTTCTCAAAAGACAAAGACAACCTTGACTAATCAGATCATTGTACCTGTGCATTAAGCCTTACATAGAAAGATGTTGAAACTCTGTTAAACTTCCCTGAACTTTGTCTCTATAAACCTTCCTAAACTTCTACCCTTTGGAACACTGACTTCCATTCTTTGAGATCTTTGCTTTTTGGGTGGGCCATACTTAACCTTTGTGCTTGAATAAACTCTCTTTAAATTAGATTCTGGCCTTTTTGATTTTAGGTTGATTGGAACGTGTGACATGTTTAAAGAGTCACTTTGCTATAGGCAGGAGATTGCATAAGAATAGGCCAGTAGGGCAGAGTGTTGCAGTAGCCCAGGCAGGAGAGGGCTGTGTTCCCCTGGATGACCTCCACAGAGACTTTGGAACCACTGCATCTAAAGTGGCTGTGTCTGACACCCTTGTTTCTTAGTATTTTATGGCTTTTGCCTCCTTTTTGTTTGTTCTCCCAACTAGAGTGTGTGTTCCATGAGGTGGCTTTATGTTACAACTGATTTCTGACATTTAGTATAGTAGGTGCTCAATTAATGTTTGTTGAATGAGTTAATAAAGTTGGATGGTGTCAGCGAAGATAGGAAGATGTGGATGAATTTTGGAGATTTTTTTTTTTTTTTTGAGTTGGAGTCTCACTCTGTCACCCAGACTGGAGTGCAGTGGCCGCTCCCGGCCACCGCAGCCTCGACCTGTTGGGCTCCGGCGATCCTTCCGTCTCAGCCTTTCAAGCAGCTGGAACTACAGGCCCGTGCTACCACGCCCAGCTCATTTTGATTTATTGTAGAGGTGAGGTCTAGCCAAGTTGCCCGGGCGGGTCTCGAACCCTCAGGCTCAGGCAATTCACTCACCTCAGCCTCCCAAGGTGCGGGATTACAGGCTGAGCCACCGAGCCCGGCTGGATTTTGGAGATTTAGGATGAAAAGCTGACAGGCTGTGAGGATAGACTGGTGCCTGGGGTCTAGAGTGCTTGGCGATGTTGGCCCCTAAGGTAAAAACAGCAACAAACCATCAATTATTTAAAAAGGAGTGGGAAATGTTCCTTAAGCACTTTACGTCTCGCCGTAACTTGGCTTACTTGTACTATGGCTGTTTGGGTCAGGTTTTCTCTCCTGCTTGCCTGTGAGTTCCGTGGGGACAGAGCTGGAATATTTTGCTTTTTACATCCCATCCGAGGTCCAGCTCAAGTGTGTCATAACCGATACTTTATATTTTCTTTTTTGCCTTGTGAGAAGGGTGACATGGTTTAGGGAGGCAACATGCTCCCCCTTTTACATATGACAAAGTTGAGGTGTGTGTGAGGTCTCCTATGGAGGAGACAGTGACACTAGAATTCTGACAGAATTCTTGGCAGGTCAGGGAGGGTGCAGCTTCAAGTCCACCTCAGACCCCTGGCCTGTACTTTGAAAAACCACAACCAAACAAGGCATTTGTACAGGCAAGACCAAGAACTGGCTTCCTTGCTTCAGCTACTTTACCTTCACTTCGAATCCTTGCTGCCCTGTGCCAGGTCCACCGAGTATGCTGCAGGTACCCATCTGGCCATCGTTCCCCTACTGATTTAAGTGCCAGTGTCAGCTGAAGGCTCTAGCGTGGGAGGCAGGGTGCACGTGGATGAAACGTAGCTTCATTAAAAATTAAGAGCTCAGCCGAGCTCGGTGGCTCAGC